GAATATGTGTGTGAGAGGGGCATGTATTGTGTGTTTTATGTCTTTACAAAAGCATTCCTGTTGTACAGACCGGCAGCTTACATGAGCTTATTGTGGCAGCGGGTAGTCGCTTTGGTGGCAGCATTCAGTGTCCCCTGGGCTTAGTGTTCAGGACAGACTGTTCTCGGGGATGTCAGGCTCCAGTCCCCCATGGACTCCACCAATCAGGAAAAGGCGCTAATCTACTGACACGGGCGGTGCAACCTTACAGAATTATACTGCGACCTGTAAGAACCCAAAGGGCTGGAGAGACAGAAGGACTCATGGTTCGGAAGCAGACTGAAGTCAATCGACCAGAACCAGAACCAACCAAATGCACTGGTCTTTCCATCATACCGATTAATATCACTAATATGCAAAATGCCACACACTATGTTGTATTCACAACCAAAGGACACTCTGTCTGTCCCTTTTCAGATGGTTATGTGATGAGCTACTGGAGTGCCCCAATGTCGGAGATGTTGGGTGTAGTATCTTGTCACTGAAGCACAGCTGGCGCACAGCTGGCAAACACACATGTGGACACAGCAGCACACAGCTAGACATGCAGCTAAGCGTAACTGTGCTGACACGGTTCAGCATAACACGGTGATTCTTAAAGATGTGCTAGCACACTATAGAATAATAATAATAATAATTATAATTGCACGTAGTAAATCATGATGTACACCGTGTGAGTAGTAAGTGAGCATACGTTCGGTTTATGTCGTTCTCCAAACTCGGCAACGCTCCAAACGTGAGCTGGAAACGCACTGGAACTAATCTCTCATCGCGGTATGGCTCAGGTATGGCTCAGGGACGGCTTGGTTCTTATATGCCAGTGGAAAAATGCTAATAGTTAGTTTTTAGTGCAAAATAGCTAATAGTGCAAAATCATTGGGTTCATTTCCTTGTTCCAACATACATAGGTAATGTTTGAATGATGCATTCAGCATGTACAAGAACAATACAATCTGTGTGCTATTAGTTAAAACAAGTGTTAATTCATTACTGTAATTAAACGGAGATCAGATCAGATTTTATAGCCATTTATTATAGAAATTCCCATACTTTTTCCTGCCACTGTATATACAAAATTTCATGTACTTCACCAGCATTAAAAAACACACAAACACAACTCAAGACAACTGTCAGCAAGCCCATATAAAGCCATACCGGCAGATCACTGTCACATACAATAATGCAGGGTCATGTGACCGTGCCATGTGTCTCAGATATGTGGTCAGGGAAAAGGATAACAAAGGTAGGGGATGCATATGACCAAGACCGAGTGGCACAAATGCCGACTCCTTCTCGCTATCATCCTTCAGTACGACTTAGTGATCACTCTTAATTTTCTTTCTCCAGCCATCCAACTACAGAAGTTGTATCCAATGAGAACAATTTCTCTATAATAAACGTGTCTGTGATTGACATTGAGCTCAAATGTCAAACAGTTCAAACATAGAAATTCACATATTTACAGGACCGTCATATATTTGAAGTTTTATTATCCAGACAAACTTGATGTAAGCCAAAAGTGACTCTCATTAAAGTCCAGGTTATTATTCACAGTCAGCTGCAGACAGCTGTACTCCCTGTAAGCTTTCAGATTCACTGGATTCTTTGGGATTATGCTGTTACTCTCTATTACTCCTGAAAACATTAGTTCAAAGGAACCTGTTGACCAGTTATGAATAAAGTCTTAATAACTGTTAATTGGTAACATTGTATCATATGTTGTTATGTATTTAACAGTTTGGGGTCTTAAAATGTTTAAATATTAACTTGTACAGTAGAGCCTATGCAGGCCATCCTTGGGCTAAGAACGGCTGGCTAAAGGTCAACTGGTACTTAGTGTCATAGAGCCTATTATATGAAAAATTTGGATTAAATAAAATGTATGTTCATAATAGTGAACTTTGTGACGCTTGTGGAAACATTGTGCACCTTCAGTGGTTTGTCGGCTTGAGGTACAGTACAGTACTCTATGTAGCTACTTTTATTATTTAAACGTCTAAAGTATTTTTATTTTTCTTGACTAAAATTTAACTTAAAGACATGTGCTATGATTTTTAATTCTCATTACTTCTTTTTAAATTAGAACTGCCCTTTAAAAGCTTGTTTTGATTTCACTGCTAGCTGCTATGCTAGCTCAGCAAGTAATTTGTACTCTGCTTCACCCCAGGTCTGTCTGGGTGCCCCGCTGATTTTCTCCCTTGGTGCAAATCAGGTGTACTGGTGCCCACGCATGAGTTTGTGAGTGTTCCAGTAAATGTGTGCACACATGAATGCACTTGTGGTGCACTTTGTCCTGTCCTGGTTTTACTAAACCTTGTTCCTGTGATACTGTGTTCCTAGGATATTCTTGTGATTGGTTCTGAACCACTGTGACACTGGGTGGATGGGATGATATTTAATTGATTTAAAAAATACTGTTATTAAAACTATGTTTGTTTATATTAATGTTAATTAAAGGAGTAAACCGTCTCCATTTGTGAAGTTGCACAGTCAGTCATATTACCTCAGCACAGTTGGATATTATAAAAACACTTGATAGGCAGATCCCATTATTGTCAAAATACATAGCAGCACATTATCTGTTGATAATTATACAGACAACCCACATTTTCTTGGTCTTATCACAACAGCAGAGCTGAATGCAGTTCTTTCTGGCCTTAAGGCAATGGGGGTGTACGGAGAAAATCCAAAGTTAGGGATTCTTGTTGACACTTCCAAACTAGCATTGCCTACGTAAAAGGACACTAAGTCCCAGGGCCGTATCAGAAGTTCTCATCTCACCGTCTGTTATATTTCATAATATCGCACTTTGATCTGTGGTCTGCAGGTAAAAAAAAAAAAAAACTCACCAGTCAGCGTGTACTTGAACTCTGCTCTTATAAAAGGCCTATGAATTCTTCCTGCTGTGTAGGTGCACACATGCATATAATGCCATGTCAGACAGAAGTAGACTTTACCCTTTCTTTGCTTCCAAAAAAGAGCAGTAATTAACAAATGGGTTAGCAGGTGATCACCAAGTCCTGTGAAAAAATGTAATGTTTATGATATGTGTCTCAAAAGGATGTGATCCAAAAGGGAGTGAATGTGAATCTAAGACTGTCTCTGAGAAACTTCTGTTGGGATGATAGAAAGGTGCTAAAATTGGTGTTATAAAGGGCAGAATACATGAGAGAATTGCATCCATGAAATATGACTTTGAGATCCTATATGGACAAAAGTATTGGATTACCTGGTCATTACACCCACAGGAACTTTTATGTCAGCCCATTCATAGGCATCAATGTGGAGTTGGTCCCCACTTTGCAGCTATAACAGCTGCCACTCTACTGGGAAGGCTTTCCACAAGATTTTGGAGTGTGTCTGTGAGAAATTTTGCCCATTCATCCAGAGGAGCATTTGTGAAGTCAGGCACTCATGTTGGATGTGAAGGCCTGGCTCACAGTCTCCATTCTAGTTCATCTCAAAGGTGTTTGGTGGAGTTGAGGTCAGGGCTCTGTGCAGGCCAGTCAAGTTCTTCCACACCTAACTCACCCAACCATGTCTTTATGGAGCTTGTTTTGTTGCTGGAAGCAAAGAATTGCTCAAAATGTCTTGGAATACTGAAGCATTATGAGTTTCCTTCAACTAGGCCAACCCCTGAAAAACAATCTCCACCAAACTTTACAGCTGGCTCAATGCAGTCAGGCAGGTAACGTTCTCCTGGCATCTGCTAAACCCAGACTCGTCCATCAGACTGCCAGACGGAGGTTTGTCACTCCAGAGAACCCGTTTCCATCGCTCCAGAGTCCAGTGCAAGCGTGCTTTACGCCACTCCTTCTGACACTGTGTGTTGCTCTTGGTGATGTGAGGCTTGCATGCAGCTGCATAGCCATGGAAGCCCATTCCATGAAGCTCCCGGGGTGCAATATTTGCGCTGGGATTAATGCCAGAGAAAGTTTGGCGACATTCATGTACCATGCGCCTCAGCATCTGGCGACCCTGCTCTGCTATTTTATGTGCTCTGCCACTTCATGGCTGAGTTTCTGTTCCTAAATGCTTCCACTTTACAACACCACTTACAGCTGACTGTGGAATATCTAGCAGAGAAGAAATTTCACAAACTGACTTATCAAGGTTTCTCATTTAATAAACTGACATGGGTGTATTAGGCCAGCACTGAAATATTATCCCGTCCTACCATGGAGCTACAGAGTGAGAACGACACATCAAATTTTAAGGTTTATAGGAACATCGCTGTGATATGGTCTGGATTGCATTTTGTACTCTCAAGGCTATCACAGTACCACCGTTATTAAATAAACCAGATAGTGTTCATTTGAGGGTTGTGCAACAGTAATCAAGTGATTGAGAGGTTTAACACATTATCATGAGCAGCACTTGAATCTTTGAATCTCTAAGCTATTTACCGCTTGTCATCTAAGATATTATAATATAAGATATAACTAATCTGCACAGTACAAGACAGACTGTGACCAAAGAGATAATGGACAGGTGTCCATTACTTAAAAATCAGGTTATCACATGGTGTGTTGACTTGATATTTAAAAAAATCTAAATTTATAAAGCCCTCAATACTTCAAACGTGTGCATAGTCGTACTGATTTTTTTCTGTTGACTAAATGGCAGCTATGGGAATGCTGGCTTCCAGGAACAGTGACTCACCCAGTAACATGTGCTCACTGACTCAAGCCAGTCTAAAGCATTGCTTTTAAAGTCCAGCTCTAGCAAGTGCAGCTGGCTCCGATTTTCATGCAGCTTTGGGCTGAAGATAAACCACCGACTGTTCAGCGTTAATAAGACACACAGCTGCACACGACAAGCCGAATTTATGCTCACTTCTGCTTATTTAGAAAAACTGCGGAATGTTGAACTTGTTTTTTTCCCTGAGTACAGCTGACTTGTGCTCCCCTGTTCCTCTTTCTACTCACTAAAACAGGCCCAAGAAGCAAACAAAACAGATCTTACTACAAACAGAAATCCTTTTTATTATTTTTTTGCTCCAACATACTGCCGACACACAAGATATATAAGACAGAGGTATATGAACTTGATCTTATAAACAGTTATTTGACATAACATTAACAGTAATGTGGAATGTAGTCTGTTTTATTTTTTATTTTGTAACAAATATTTCAAATAAATAAAGATCTATATAGTCTCTGTTCCTATAATTCATCATATTATCACAACACACCCCCCTTTGTCATTTGGAATGAAAGTGGACAACTGGTGGAGGAGACATTGAATAAGGGGGCTCAGGGTGACACGATTGTCCCTCTTTGTCCCCCAAAACAGTCCTCAATAATTCTTCTCTTCTTCCCTTCATCTGTTGGAGGGAGAGAGGTGTGGTATAAAGAATGGTGTTTCTCCTCACCCCACTGTCCTTACTATCCCCCCCCCCAAACACACACGCGCCCTCACTTGGTCGGTTTCATTCCAAAGTTCATCAGGAGTCCGTACAGGTATGGAAGAGAGACCAGACAAGCCCACTGCAGAAACCATCTCTGCCCAAAAGCCAGCTCAGACAGAGACACGAGTGGGACTGGCACGGATCAGGCAATCCATCGTTCACGCCATGCTCTGTTCACACTTCTTGTTTTGTCAAGATGCTTCACCTTTTTCTTCCCTTTTTTTTATAAAAAAAGAAAAAAATCGAAGAAGACCATTAACGGCACATGAGTCAGTGTTACCAACAGATGTCCAAAGAGCTGGAGACATGGGTGTCCATCTCTGCTGTCCTTTACTGGTGAAGGAAAGGCAGCAGCACTCTGGCTGGAGCGAGTGAGCGAGCACGCAGAGGGCCAGCCGGTAGCTGCATGTTCATCTCCGCTGCCCTCCTGTGTTGCTCCCTCCATCTGAGGCTTCCAGTGGCATGGAGCCCTCGCCGAGAGGGAACGTGCACACCGAGGATGGGATCCAGACTGGTCTGGAGAAGGGCTTAATCAGCGCTGTGGTCCTCCAGCTCTGAGATGATGGTGATAAGGTTCTGCAGGCCGAAAATGTAGCCGCTGTCCTGGCCCTCGTGCACCACGCTGTCCTCCCCGTAGTGCCGGCAGGTGGTGTGGGCAAAGTCGATCATACGCACGTCCACTAGGGGGCCTGGTTCCCCCATGGATGGCCAGCCGCCAGTGCCGCCGCCCGCCGCTCCGCCGCAGTGGAACCCGAACGCCCCGGGGTCCTCCTCGTCCTCCTCCTCGTCATCCTCCTCTTCCTCGCCCTCCTCGCCGCCGTGATGACAGTGGCGCTGGCGTTGGGCGCGCGGCGGGTCGCCGTCGTAGATGATGAGCAGCGAGCTGGAGTAGAAGCGGTACGACTCGCAGGCCTCCAGCGCTGCCTGCATCTCCCGCAGGCGCCGCAGCACGGGGGACAGCAGCTCCCGCCGCAGGCGCCGGCCGTCGTGGAAGAACTGGAAGAGCGCCTCCTTGAAGCCGGCCAGCGTCAGCTTGCGTCCGTGGTACTTATTCATGAATATAAGCTGACCTGAGTCTGCCTGGTACACCTGGATGGGGGACAGGTCATTGGTTAGCAGATCCACACCACAACTGCAAAATTAACATACGCATCTCCTGGGCGACGCCCCCTTCAAAATGGCCACCACCGACCTGCATGCCGCACAGCCTCACTCCGATGGAGGACGACGTGCTCTGCTGGCACTTGCGGATCTGGTGGGCCTTCTTCTCCTCGGAAGCGTCATCCCCGTGCTGCCGGGTACCCATCTTCAGGTCCAGGACGCAGGGCATGTTGTATCGCCATGTCAGATTCTCCAGCAGAATGAATTCTGGGAAGGGTTCGTGGGTCAAGGAAGAAACAGAGGGCAGAGGAAGCTCCGCTCTGCCTGTATCAATCTGTGATCTACTCCACTTCCTGTGACAACAGGAATGCACCTGTTAGGCCGCAGACTTTGAATGGACCATTTGAAAGGCAAAGTTTCGGTGCACGCGAGTACTGGAGTCACTGGCACAAAAGGATACTGTACTGGTTGCGGTGCTTGGCGTTCTCCTTCATGCGCTGGAGCTGCTGCTGGTGGCATTTCAGGCTCCAGGGGTTGTGCTTGAGCTGCGGTATCACCTTGCCCTTCTCTAGGCTGTAGCACAGCACCTCGGCCTGCTCACGCTCCTCACGATTGTGGCTGCGCAGAGGCAGAGATGATTACTGGGGACCCGATACAAGCTGGAGAAAAGCTGGCCTGGTATGACAGTGACCTCTGAGACATGGCACGATTCTGAGAGCTTAAATAGGTTACATGCTCCTCCCTCAGGGAGCCCCAGAATGTCACGGTGACGACAACCCAGCGAGATGGGTCCGTTCTCATTATACATAAATAGTGGGCGGTCCTTTGGTGAAGCCACGCCCCTCTCACCTCTTGTTCTTGTCCTCCTTGCGCATCTGCCTGGTCCTGTCCTTGCCGTAATAGTCACCTTCCGGCAGCAGAGCGGGCGGCTTCACGTTGCTCCGCTTCAGCATCTTGTGCTTGGGCTCGCAGTCGGCAGTGGGGTCCACATTCTCCAGGTCGCCCGCCTCACCGCGCAGGGGATACGCCATCAGGCAGAGGCTCCCCTCCTCGTCCTCCTCGAAGCTGACAGACACCACACCTGCGAAACCAGGAGAGACGTCAAGCTGCAGAGAACCTCAGTTACCATGGGGGGGAAAAAAAAAAAAAAAACACGTGTCTATATGAACTTGATGGAATATATATACTCCCCAGAATAAAAATAGATGGGCAGTACTTAATTCTTACCGCATATCTTCAGCCTTTAAACACTGTTTTCTCTGCACCTCATAAACTGGACTAAAAATCACAAAACAAAAAAAAATTGCAAAACACAAAAGACACACAGAGACAACTGAGGAATTGGGGAGGGAGGCTCATCAATAGGGTTGTGTGTGTGTGTGTGTGTGTATGTGTGTGTGTGTGTGTGTGTGTGTGTGTGTGTGTGTGTGTGTGTGTGCGCGCCCAACCTGGTGTGTCAACCTGCACTAGAATAACACAACCTTTACAACAAATACACACAGGAGGCCTCAACTTGTGCAATTCACCATCAGCTTTATTAGCGAAGCAGCTCATCACAACATGCAGTTGTGCATGTACTCAGCACACAGAAGGTAATGAGCCCACAACACCAACGTACATCATATCACAGGGCTTACAAAACAAAGATAATAAATCCCAGAAAACAAAAGAAAAACATAACCTTTAACAGAGAGGGCGCAGAAATCAATACATTTGAAACTGAAGCTGAAATGAGAAATTGTTTTAATACAGAGCTGAAAGACCCACATAGAGAGAAGAGGGGTGATCACATGATCGGTCATGTGTTAGGGGACAGGGATTTAAGGCCCGTGGGTGAAGGGTGGCAGTCCTCTTTGTGTGGTGGGGGGTAGGAAGGGGGGTTTATGAATGAAAAATGCCACAATTTACTGCTGCAGGGACACAAGCTAGTGACTAAAAAAGGGTGCGATGGGAGAAGATGACAGGAATGACGCCCCGAGACAGAAGCAGCCAAACGTTCGCTTTTCCCTACGTTAAAAACATTGTTTTGACTTTGCTTATATGACACTGTTTCGGTGATTAAAATTTTATAAAATTAAATACCAACAAAGAGAAGATTTTTACGAAAAACTCTACAATTCTATACATAAATGGTATGAGATCCGCAGTTCTGAGAGGTTTTGGGACCCAGGGGCCGATAATCCTGAGTGGTTACTTTCTCCACAAGTGATGTCATAGGTAGTGATGTCATTGCCTTTCACAAGCTCAGAGTTAACTCCTTCTTGGGCAGGCTGCTGTAACCGAAAGTCTGCTGTGTCACTGTATGTGTCAACATATCTGGGTAACATTTAGAGTGGGAGGCCGTGTGTCTTTTACGCTTTAACACAGGTGCTTTCCCTTGTTCTATAAATCCCCTCATCTCTACCTTCTCAAATATCCATTTGCTGAGTGCATTTGCGGGATCCGACTAGGCCCTTCTAATTTTTGGGGTCTTTGGGGGAAAGAGAGAAAGAACGACAGAGAATGAACACCTCTAGAAGCTTTGACATCTGAGAAAACACAGGACGTCGTGCCCCAGCACACCTGTCTGGAATCCTGGGTATTAATATCCTGGGTATTAACCCTGCTCACCTCCCCTTCAGGCAACCCCTACTGCCTCAGGAAGTATCGCGCGGCACCCAGATCTCTGGTGCCGGTATCACCATGTTGTCATGATGCCATGACAACAACCAGTATCGCCTTCATTAGGACCTGGAACATGGGCACCAAAGGCAAGGGCATAGGAGTACAGATGGTATGTAAGGACAGCCTGTGGTGGGAATTCTAACGCTGGGGGGAAAGGACACAAGGGTGCCCTCTTGTGGGTGTCCAGTGGCTAGGCAGCTTAGCGCAGTACGCTGGTTCCCGCATTGCCATCATTCATACAAACCTGTTACCTCTAAAGAGAGCCCTAATTACACCATCAAGTAACGTGTGGTGCTTGTATCGGCACACAGTAATCATGTACAAATCATCGCCCTCGAGGTAAATTCAGAGACGGTAGCATCCTGTGCCAGTGTAACACACGACACCAGCAAAAGCAGCGTTATGACAGGGACAGAGCGAGAAGGGAGCCAGCTGGAGGCCAAAACGGCCAGGCTTACCTCTGTACTGCGGGGTGAACTTCCTCATCTCCGCCGGCAGGCTCTTGTAGAACTGGTGTTCCCGGGGAATGAGGGGCTTGCAGATGGTCTGCTCCCCGAAGCGGAGCACGCAGGAATGGCCCCCCACCTGGTGAACGAAGGGCTCAAGCATTACCCCTTGGCTGGGGTACCGCTTCTGATCTGTCTGCATTACAGCCTCCAGCGCAGGACTCATCCTCGACGAGCATTAGACTCCTGGCTGCGGGTCCGAGACAAAGGCGAGATCCAGCGGGCCGGCGGGGAGGGCCAAGGTGCTGACTGCGAGACTGCTTCCTCGTCTCGACAAAACCGAAATCCCCTAAGATGGAAGCTGCCCAGCCACAAAAACAAAGAGAAGAGGGGCAATAAAGGGATTTTTTTTACTCCAGTTACACCGAAAAGAAAAGTCGACCAGCAGACTTTCTGCTGTGTGATTACAGCCACCTTTTTAGTTTGACGTTTAACGAAGAAAAAAAAAAAAAGGGGGGGGGGGACTTTAAATGAGAGCGGAGTTGCTCCCGGATCCCTCTCCGATACTGAAACGAAGAACTGAGCGAGCCGAGGGCTAGAAAAGACCACAACAAGTCAGAAAGGCCCTCCCCCTTCCTCTGGTCTCAGCCAATCAGCAGTTGGCAGCTGTTGTTGGGTGGGAACCAAGCAACTGAACAGAATAGGCAAACAAAGAGGGAGGGAGAGAAGGGTGGGGGAAGGGAGAAAGAAAGAAGGAACACAAAAACAAAGAGGAGAAGAAAAAAAAAGATCACAGCTGTGTTTAGATGTTCCTCTGCGGTGTGACAGCAGCTTCCTAGCAGACCTTGCAGATCAGTGAGCCCTACAGGGACCCCGCACTGCTTCCTGATGGGCAGAAAGGGTCAGATCCAGAAGCAAGGAGCCGGCAGCACAGCGCAGGCGACCAACAGAGGGCACCACTCGCGTTGCCTGGCCCGATACAGGCAGGACCTCAGGGTTGTTTCATCTAAATTTAGAATGCAACATAAGCAGTGCCAAGACCCCATTTGTCCAAATTGCACAGGGCTGCACCTAAAGTTCAGACCAGAGAGACAAGTAAACAAGCAAGCAGGCATGACACAAACATGTCTGGGCCACCTCCTCCGAGGATCTCGGGAACTGAGGGAGGTACGGAGACACCGCGACACCGGGCGTGGGGCCCTGAGATGCAGTCAGAGTCTGTCATACCTTCACAGGCTATATGGCTAGGAACCATTAAAAAAAACAACATTATTAGCCCAAAGACTGATGGCACTGTATTCCAGACCCAGATGTACTGAAGGCCCCTACGGCCATATAATTATGGGGCCTCTGGGGGTTCAAATGGAGCTTTAATGCCAAAACCACGCTAATACCACTGCAGTGATGGAGGGGAATCAAAACGGGGCAGAGGGGAAGAAGAAGGAAGGGACACGACAGCGGGAACAAAACATACACAGGACCAGCTACGAGAAACACAGCCATGAAGGAACATGAGATCCATGGCCCAATGGTGAGCCAACCGCCAGCTGCAGTGGGAGAGACCTGTGGGTCGGCGCCGGCCTAGCAGACCCCTCGTCCTGCCTGGCCAGCTCACACCTGGGCCTCCGGCAAATACCCTTTCACGTGGTCAACACCAGGGGGCCGCGTGTGCCGAGGGCCGGGCTCACCTTAATGGGGCCCCTCCCTGATAACACATTTCAAATAACCATCGTTCCGTCACTCCCACTCACTGGTATCGCAAATCAGCGCCAGCTAATACACCCAGGGCACTAATTAAGTGATATTTAATTCCAGGATTTGGATGTTTACTCACTTCCCCTGACAGCCATATCCTTCAGTGGGGGGTGGGTGGATTTTGCCTTGAGGTGGAGGAACATCCCATTACACACCTGTGGTATCAGATACAAACCTGGGGGAGTGAGAGGTATGTA